TGACAGCCTCGAGGATGGACGGAAGAGGAGGCGGCGAGGCTGAGGATGAGGAGGAGGAGGAGGAGGAGGAGGAGGAAGAGTGTACTATTGGGTTTTGTAAGTGTGCTGTCGGTGGGAAGAGTGACGGAGGCGGCTGACTCGACGGTTGGGACGTCGGTGAGACGGTGCCTTGAGCCAGACTTCGGTCGACCGGGCCTCTAAGACACCCGGAACCTGGTCTGCAACTCGCCGGCCCCACAGCACCGGACTTGGACAGTCGGCCGGTCAAGAGGCCCCGATGCCCAGTCGTCTCCACGTTCCGTTGACGACCCCGATGCCCAACCGTCGACAGTCCATTCTGCAGACAGAATACTGGTGCTGTTGCTAGGGCGGATGAGGCACTGTGTCGAGACACCGGCCATGAAGTGGTCGGTCGCATGTGACTCGTGGACCCTGGCAACAAGAGCCCTGGACACTCGGCCATCTCCGAATAAGATGGCTCCGCCAATGTGGATGTCGTCGTTGTCGTCGTCGTCGTTGCCGTCGTTGCCGTCGTCGTCCCTCCCGACGCTGAGAAGACACTCAACTGACTGACCAGTTGTTGATAGAGCTGCTGACGATCGGCTTCGGGCATGGCAAGTAGTTCCACGTGCCGACGTACCGTGTGCCGCTTTATGGTGTCCAACTTGCGCTGTGTCATCACCTTGTGGCATACCAAACACATCACCTACAAATGATTGGTGCGTCAATGTCAAGGTATTAGAGGGAGAAAGAGTTGGCGACGTGGGAAAAGAAAGGTGGAGAACTTAAAGAGGCCGGTTGTACTACTCGAATCGGCTTTTGTAAGTACCGGACTCCTTGAAAGGATCATTTCATTAAATGCATACTGATCTCCCACATGGAGCCGTGATGTGGGGATCGCAAATTGCCGGTACCCTTGTTCACATGTTCAACAACATTAAACAGCACCATCCTGACTTATTATATTTTTTTCCTTTTCCTCTCATCTTCAGATTAAATAGTGTTTGGTTAGGATCCCTTAAACTTTTAAGCCGGACGAGGTTGAAACTGTGGTCCACTTTAGATGACAAGCCATATTGTGGAAAAATTCAAATATTTAATAACAACTATGTAGGAATATAGAAGATCTTCTATTTTTTCCACTTTTTGAATCCTCATTTTAAGGATTCTGCATCCCTTCGTATGAAACATTTGATAGCTTAGACTCGGATTAGTTCTGCTACTCTTTGCTCGTCTGGACGATGTCCATCATGACAAATACATTTTCGTGGCAACTTTTATTTCATAGGAATGTGTATGATGGAGGGATTCGTTGTTTGATCTCACCGGAAGATGATGGTTGATACTCATTGCTTTGCGACCTTTTGGCTTTAATACGAAGCAGTATCCTTCATTTCATGTGAAATCAAGCTGAGCTTTCCTCCTTCTTATGACGGACATTGCCAGAGATGTAATTCGTTCTTGCAAATCCCTAAATAAACACCAAGTAAAGAAGATTTACCGATTATATACTATTTGCTATATATATATTCATATGTAGAGGCGAAAATATACAGATACATGTGTATCTAGAAATGAGGGAGGGTTTCTCTTGGGCGGCCTCTTCATCATGCGCCTGCATTAGAAGTGAAAATCTTCACAACAATGTTATTTCAAGAGAGTCATTAAAATCCAGAGACATATTTAATCGCATTCTTAAGGCATCATTGTTCTGTTTCCAATGCGGCCAATTTAGGGACAGATCCCTTACACACAAGATCCTACACGTAAAGAAAGATGCTCTCATGTTAAATTAACAAGAGAGCCTTTTTTAGATCTTATGCGAATCTCTCCTTGGAATGCGTATCGCGATTTTGTCCTCATGCTGACTTGTGCGTATGCATGTATGTATGTTTGTAGAGATGTGTGTATTTGTGTGTGAATTTGTGTCGGCCCTCATTTCAAGTCTTCTTTTGATCTCATATTTTGTATGACCTTAAACACTCTAAATAGGCATGAAGAGAAGTAATGGTTCATATATTTAAAAATGGAAGGTGGCTGAACATATGATCACTACAGGACATCAGATAGAGTAGTCTTAAACCAAATTTTTTGCCGAATATGAAAACTTCACAGCTAAGCGGAAAATCAGAAGGTCGATCGAAAAAAGTGCAACAAAGAAAATGCTGAATAAGATGAACGAGTGTAGGAAACTAAGCAAGAACTATCGCTGGCTGCTGGATAGAATTAGAGAGAGTGAAAGAGAGATAGAGAAAAAAGGGAACAGAAAGGCACTAAGTAAGAGGAAAATGCTTGACTAATCTGGAATCTGGTTTGAGTCTCAAAATTGTCAACTAACTAGTGATTATTGCATTCACACAACGCACAAGAATCCACGAAGCTAAAACAAGACTCAGGTTTATATGATCATACGCCAATTTAATTACATAAAGAAAAATTGTAACCACCTCTACTCCTCTTCCTTCAGCAACTTCACTCGCATACATTCATGTCGGACAAGCATAAAGCGACCAACAAATTATGGAGGTATAAGAAGAAAGTAAAATTTCAGCAGTTGTCACCTTTTTGGTGATTG